GTATATGCATATTTGTGCATAAAATGATTCACAAAAAGTATAATATGAATTTTAATAATTTCTGAATATATATAAATATAATGAAAAACTATTAACTATAAATATTTGATAAATATTCAATAAGAAAAATAGAAAAAATATTCATTTCAAAATAACAAAAATAATTTATTATTATTTGTTTAGTCTTTGATCTATTTTTTATTCTATATTTATTTCTTTTTATTATTTATATATTAGCATATTTTATATTAATGAAAAAAAAAAATTATAATTGCATGCAGAATTATTTGATAATGATATCGATAATTACAGTGTCCAATTAGTATGTTATTTTTTTTATATGTTAAATAACCAAAGCAATAGAATATAATTGTCACGTATTTTAAATACATCATTTTATGATGAAACGTTTATATTTCATAATCATAAAATAATTATTTTATTAATTTTGATGAAATAAAGCACAGAAATTACAATCATAAAAAATTCTGATCGATAAAATAATCCATATAATAATCCATATAATAATCCATATAATAATCCATATAATAATCCATAGCGATATATTAATTTATTTTTCAATATATAATATACTCTTTAAAAGTTCATACCCACATCGAATGTGAAAGTAGAATGTTCCACTTTTTCTCTATTTGTAGTCGTTTAGTCAGAAGAATCATTATGCATTTAAGAGAGAACCGGGAAATAAGGGCAAACGATAAAACTCGAAGAATAATCGTCGTATAATTTTTATAGATTCAAAATTCGATGATTATACCGATAATTCATGTAATTGCAACATCCCACAAACAATTGTTATTTCTTCTAAGATAAAAGAAAAAAATATACACAAATTATTTCACTTGTTATTTATTTTTGAATTCTCAATTATGTTTTATACGTTATTTTAATAAACAACTAAAATCTTAACATACTACATTTCTTTAATATGTATTAGTTTTTAAAGAATTAACACTTTTTGATCGATTAATTGAGCACCAGCAATTATTATCATATTATTATAAAAAAAAATGATCATAATAGATAAGTATCTAATCTTAAAATGCTTGAAATTTTTAAAAATGAATTTAAAATAAACAAATTTTAAATATCACTATAATTTACACAATAATTACACTATAATTAACAAAATTATTTATGTTATATTATTTATATTATGTTCACAATAGAAATATTTATACTATAATCACCTTAATTGTATTTGAAGTACATTTTTAATAATAAAATAAAAATAAAATACATGATAAATAAACTCTGAAATATTTTAATTTATTGATTTACATATATTTATATTACTTTAAAACATTATTTTATTCCATATTGTTTAATGCATTAATAATTTTAAATTAAAATTTCTGCATAAATTAACTTCCACTACACTGTTGAGTTGTTCTTTCCCTTGAAAGAAACAGCATACTACTGTACGTTCTATACGACTGGAGAAGTAGGTATAGTAAGTATAATAGTGAGAGCATAATAGCAACCAAAGAAGGGGCTAAAATAATGTAAAGCAAAAGAAAATAAAATAGTAGTATTAATAATATCTATTATCAGTTGATTTAAAAAAGTCATTATTTGTGTATTATAAGTGTAATCTTAAAAAATAAGAAATTTTAATATAACTATTTTAAATTATTTATTAAAATAATAGGTTAGGATTAAAATTATAAAGGACAATTTTGTATCGACAATAGTGACATCTTTTTGAATTTTTTTTAGCTTATTTTCGACTTAACTATTTTGAATTTGCATTGAATTTAAATTGAATATTAATTGAGATAAAGAGCAAATATATAAACATAAAAAAAATATAAAATTTATTTTGACAATTTACGATATTTTATTAAATTTATCATATATATATAATTTATCATAAATAATATAATTGCTTAATAAAATTGATAATGCAAATATATATTACTGATCACCAAAATTCGAAATCTACTCAAACTATTCGATAAGCCAAATTGATTATTTAAATTATTTATAAATAGTTCAATTATAAATTTATGCATATATATATATCTTATAAATAGAACATGAAAAATTAGATTATTTTGAAGAACAAATTTTTTTCTTTTTAAGGATTATATTCTAATAATAAATATTTAAGTTTAGATTTATTTAAGTTCTTTGTTCTGTTTTTAATTGATATCTATAATTGCAAATTGATTCTAAATAGTCAATAATTTTAATATATTATATAATAATTTATTAATGTATTGTTAATATAATTTTGAAAATTTCAACTATCTAATTTAACTATTTTAATTATGCTACTTTAAAACATTATTTGAAATAAAATATTAAATCATACATGTATAGAATATAACAAAAAGAATTTCGAAAATCTCAGAGACATTGTACAGTTATTCAAATTTCATTATATCGACCTGTGTATTCTTTTATATAACTTGCACTCATTATTATAAATATATCTGTCATTTTTCCAACTTTTAAGTTTATCGCATTATTTGAGAATTTTTATTATATTTTTATATAATAATTGAATTCTCAATGAATATTAGCTATTATTAGATAATTATATATTAATTTTTAACATTAATTTCTAACAATTAAAATATATTAGCTTCTCATATTCGTGATATAGTTTTATGTATATTGAAATTTTCACTATTCAACTTGTATTTAATCAATATTCGACAATAACAAGAAGATTAAAAACAGAAGAAATATACGTATCATAAATATTTTACTTATTTTATACATCATTAAATAAATTTGAAAGGTAAGCAGCCATTGCATATTTGTTTATATTTTTTTTTGTTTATATGTTGATAATGTTGAAAATATGTTTATATGTTGATTTTGATTTTGATATGTTTATATGTTCATGTTGATAAATCTTTTCTTGCTGAAAGATTTTTCCAACTAAGCAATTTTTAAGAAAAACAAATGATTCAAAATAAAGTGATCATGCATTTATTAAATTAATCTTTAAAAGAAATCTTCAAATCTTAAAATTTATTTTCTTAATCTTTTGAATAATTGAAGAATTATTTATATATGTAGTGATTAACTATATTGTTTCGTAAAATAGCGGCAATTTTGTAAGATATGTGTGCAATTATCATAAAGCAAATTATATATGCATATAAATCTAAAAATAAATAATTTCAACTAATTTCTTAATTTTTTTTAATTTATAAACTTATATTAAATTGAAATTTTATAGAAAATTCGTAAACTATTTTTATATTACTATTAATAGATTTAATATCAAACAATAAATAAATAAATTCATTTTCAAAAATAATACAATGAAATAATATTTAATTACCTGAAAATGAGTGGTTATATTGTTTAATTTTCCAACAATTTCATAATATATTATTAAATGAAATAGTTTTAAGTAAGAATGAGTTGGATTCATTTTAACACTATTATGCTATATATAAAAATATATAATATTTCATTTCATCTCAAATCTCTCATATTTTTTTACCGGTAAAAAAAATATTTATACTTATATTATGGCTCTCTTCATTTTTATTTGAATATTTTTTTTATATCTCTTAATTATTTTCGAAATTTGACTGTATTTATATAAAACAGAATTTATAAGAAAAATAATTATCGAATAGTAATCAATATTTTTAATATAGAATATATTATATTTATTTTATTTATATTAAATATATTATAATTAAATATATTAAATATTACGATATTACAATTTTTTTAAAAGAAAATTTAAAATATATATATTGAAATTAAATGCACTTTAGTTTATTTTTTTGAACGTTATATCTAAAATTATAAATGATTTCATGGATTGAATTATGAGATTTTTTATTCTAAACATGTGACGGATAAGATTGACAATGCAAAATAAAAGTAAATGTTTGTGGTTTATTTCACTTCTCAAAAGGAAATTGCGTTTTTCATATTACTGAGAGTAATTTTTTTAGCTTTTATTTTTAAATTTTTATTTATTTTATAATTATTCTCAGATTATAGAAATATTAAATTTCAATACATCTGCTATTTAATAATTTTTCATTTTATTTTTTTAAAATTATACAAAAATAAGTACATATTTAATATTTCTGCATAATTAATAATATGTAATGTTATAAATATTTCAACAATGCTATCAAGAAAATATTTTAAAATGAAAGTTACATTATTTATTATCTTATATCACAAATAAAATACAGATTTTACATTTTGTCCATACTTATTTTGATAAATATTTTCAAAAATAACTTATAATTATTATTGAATATTATTAATATTCCAAATAAATTTTATTATATTATATTTATTAAATAAATATTTTAACATTATATTAATATATCATAAATGCTAAAAAATGATCAAGAAATAGTACAAAGAACTAAAATTTTCATAAATAAAGAAGCATGCATAAAAAGAATATGCGTTTATATCAGATTTGTAAATGTTAAAATGAAGAATATATAAGCTATATAAAAATAGATTGACCCTGCCGTCGATAAAACCTGTAAAGCGCGAAACCCTTCAATGTAAGTAATTCGATATACATGAGGAGAGATGAATGAAAAGAAGTTTAGTATATCTATAAATGGATTCTCACGAGGTATTGGCATATACCTATAATGGATTCTCATTTAGAATCCTGATTATGAATAATTTTCTTTTATTTTTTCTTTCTATGGTAAATAATTTCGTTTTGTTATATTCTTAACAACAAATAATTGTTTTCAGTAGATGTTTTTAACGCACATAAAAAATATAGATGAATTATAAGGCTTGATAAAAATTTATTAAGAAATCTGATTATAATAAAGAATAAAAAATAATATATTTATTATATTATTTTATTTATATTTATATTATTAATTTATAATTTATTTTTTTCTTGCGAAATATATACATTTTTTATTAACATTTAATTATTTATTATAATTATAATATTTGAATGTGTATGTAATAATCATAAATATTTTTTAGTACGAACATAGGCCAGTATTATAAATTATCTTCTATAATTAGAATTAATTCTTTTAATTAGCATTTACGTCCCTCAATGTATAGCACGTGTTTGATCACGATTTGGCAATTTAAATATTTATAAACTGAATAATTACATTTAGTAAGGAATGAATAATTATTTATATACAAAATATTGTATATTTATGAGAAAGTAAATAGTACAATCTCATAAACAGTATGTAAATATGTAATTTAACCTTTAAGTACACAAAAATTATCTCAGGTACCTACTAGTACAAACCTTTTATATCAATATCATTTAACACAATATCTATTAGAACTGTACAGTTTTTAAATACAGCATTCTAATAGAATACATACAAAGAAGCATCACACAAAATTGGTATATTGATTTCAAAGTATCAATATATTTCATAATAAGCCCATATATTAAATTATGACTAGTACAGTATGTTAATGCATTTATTGATTTTTCGATTACGATCTTACGTAATGATACGATTCCATTGATTCATTTGATCATAATTAATGTTATTTGACAATGTCGTACAGTATCTACAATTATTAAACGCGGAACATACTTCATATGATTAGCATGAGGTTATGAACACCATTATTTTTCCATGAAAGGCACGTAAACTTATACACAGATTTTGCGCACCGTTAATATTTATAAAAATTTTTGTTGTACATTTATTTTCTGGCGCATGTAGTGTAACATATTACCTGATCAATAAATATAAATAGTATGAAAAAGTAATAGAAGCACATTTATATCTCGTTATTATAAATATTCTATTTTCATATAAATTATATATGTAAACAAATTTTTTATTTTCATTACAAGAGGTTGAAAATTTTCAATGCTCATGAAATGAAAATTTTAATACTATTATTTAATGATAATGTTTAGTTTCAGTCAAAATAATTTCTAGACATTAATTGTTTAAATCTCTTAAATTATATAAAAATTCTTCTTTTTAATCTACTATAATTTATCATTTAAATATTGCATTATATTAATTGCGATTAACTAATTTCATTCTACCGATTTTAAATGCATAATTTACTTTAAATATATTAAAGATTTCTTTAAATACTTTATCATAAAAATATTGAAAGCTTTGCAACTGCTAAATCTTTATGCTATTTAAGCTAAAGTGTTTGCAATTTTTCACTTTTTTTACTTGATATAACGTATTTGATAATTAAATATACATATAACTTGTTTTATATTAATTGCACATTTTAAAGTATACACATGTGAAAATATGTGTATACATATCTAAAAGATGTCATTTTCTTCTTAAATCCACTACTTCTATAACTGCTGTTACGTCCAATTTACAATGTTTTGCTTTCTGAAAAAGAAATAGTTTTAAATGTGTATAATATTTATACAAATTGCATAATATATAATTACTGTATATAGTGGTGGATCAGTTGGATGTGGATGAAATCCAGTTTCTCTGCAATTTGCAATAAATTCTAATCCATATTCTGGAGTTAAAATGAAGAATCCTGTTCTAAAATAAAAAATTATTTTTGAATTAAGAAAAATTCATTCTTTTATTTTTTATATTTTTTTGAACCTGTTTTACTTACTCATCATATTTAGGAGCACAAACAATTGCAATTGCTTCAGCCATCATAAGTTGATATGCACAATGTGTATGAAGATCTACACTAGACAGAAATGCAGTCTGTGTAGGATGTGTCTGTGAAATATAATTATCTTTTCTATTTGGAATACAATTTATACAATAGACATATAATTTAATTTTTAACTTAATATATTAATCATTTAATTAACTTAAATGATTTTAAATAAAATGATTTTAAAAAAATGATTTTAAATAATACAAAAAATACATACATGTATCCAACCAAGAGTAATCAAATTATGTTGATCTTGATAATCAAATATATCTTCTTCATTATGTGTTACACAAGAATCTGGAGATCCAGTTTGTTCAGGAATTAATAAATGAGTAACTAGTAATCTATTTTTTTCTAATTTCCCTGCTAGTATACCACAAGTTTCTTTATTATTCATGGTATTGGTGAAAGCCAACATGAGAAAGTTATGCATTAATTTAGTTGGCAGTATTATATCTCTTAAAGTGAAAGTATCACAAAGCAAAGAAGGTTTTGTTGAGCGATCTATAATAGGTCTAGTAAAAAATATAAATTTATAACTTAATATTTTTTATAAATTGCTATAATTTAGTACTTTTTTTTTTATATTATACTTACTTTTCTTTTGATGTTTGTGCAGTTATATCAATAGATGGAGTTACTATTGGTTTTGATAATATAGTGGGTATTTTTTTAGATTTGTCATCTTCAATGGTTACAGTTAAAGCAGCTTTTGCTGCTTTAACAGCTGCTAGTGCAGCTAATTTGTTCTTCTTTTCTTCTTCTTCCCTCAACCTAAACAAATATTATATGTACATAAATATTATGAATTTAAATATTATATAATTTCTAAAATATTATGAAATACTTTTCTAATTCTTCTCGTTTTTGTCGTTCCTTTTCAATTTTTTCTCTTTCTTTTACATCTTCCATATATTTATTTAACTCTGTTTGATATTGTTCTAATAATTGTTTCTTTAACTCCTCAGCCTTGGGAAGTACTTTCCGTAATGTTTGTTGATTATGTTCCTTATCCTTTAATGGTACTGTATCAAATTGTGGATGATTTCTTATTTTTTCAACAAAAATTCTGTGATAATATATTTTTAAATATATTAATATATTTTAAATATTTTTAATGTTTTAAAATATAACAATTATATATAATTATATAATAATTATATATTATATAAAATATAATAAATTATATATTTTATTATATGTTAAAACTATATATATGTATATATCTTACGTTATAAATTTGACATATAAAAAATATGCATATTCAAGATTATTATCTTTCATACACATATCTGCCATTCTAATCATTTCTACACCAGAACGGTAATATCTAAGAAAATTTAAATAAATTAATAATATTAGATTTATTTAAATTCGTTTTTTAATATATGGTATATAGAATATGTAATTTTACCTTTGTGGTGGAATGTTACGATCCATTTCCACAGTAGAAGCATAGTCAGAAAGAGACTTCAATCGTGCTCGTGGATCTGATATGCCAACATCCTTCCAAGGAGGATGTTTAGCATTTTTAATCTCTGACGTTTCCTTGTTCATTTAAAAATTTTAGGTTAGATTTAATGAATATATATTAATATTTTATTACATCTACAAAGATTTGTTATTAGTGAATCTTCTCAATTCTAAAATATACGTGAACATTTATCCCATTTTATTTCTAACAAAAATATAGTCAAATATAGTCAAAATAATAATCCAGTTGATAAAAAAATATGTGAAATTAATACCTACATATGTTATCAAATATTATCAATTGACAGTGTTACCAATAGAAAAATAAAAGATACTATATATTATTAATTTTTTTTTTTAGTAAAGATATAATAATTGTATATTTTTAATGAAGATTTCATCATCATTATGAAAATTTTATAAATAATATATATAATTTATAATATTTATAATAGCGATGACATTTTAATAAATTCATAATTATTTGTAATAATTATTTTAATTCATTGGCATATATAATTTATTTATCAAAATGTTATTAAGAAATGTATAAGATAAAATTTGATTGTTAATAACTTGTTATTTGTTATTATTATTTCATCATTTCATTTATTAGAATAATAACTTATATATATGTTTATTATGTTTGTTTTTATTTGCTAATTTTGTAAATAACTTATTAATTTCTAATTATTTCAATATCATAATATATATATCATAATATTATATATAAAAGATTATTTTAAAAATGAAAATTCATAAAATAAAAGATTATTCTAATGTTATAAATTTGATATTTAATATATTAAAATTAATTTAATAATAT